TTAAACATTGTAGTTACCTCAAGCCCTGTAAAAACTCTCAGCCACCCTACTTCGCACATCACTCTACTTGGACTCTATAGACATCTTACTTGGACCCTGGTCACATCGTACTTGGTCCCTGTCACAACGTACTTGGACCCTGACCATATCATACATGGACCCTGGTCACATCATACTTGGACCCTGGTCACATCATACTTGGACCCTGGTCACATCGTACTTGGAACCTGTACACATCATACTTGGACCCTGACCACATCATACATGGACCCTGGTCACATCATACTTGGACCCTGGTCATATCGTACTTGGTCCCTGGTCACATCATACTTGGACCCTGGTCAAATCGTACTTGGTCCCTGTCACATCATACTTGGACCCTGACCACATCATACATGGACCCTGGTCACATCATACTTGGACCCTGGTCATATCGTATTTGGTCCATGGTCACATCGTACTTGGACCCTGGTCACATCGTACTTGGAACCTGGTCACATCGTTCTTGGACCCTGGTCACATCATACTTGGACCCTGGTCACATCATACTTGGAACCTGGTCACATCGTTCTTGGACCCTGGTCACATCATACTTGGACCCTGGTCGCATCCTACTTGGACCGTGGTCACATCATACATGGTCCCTAGTCACATCATACTTGGACCCTGGTCACATCATACTTGGACCCTGGTCGCATCCTACTTGGACCCTGGTCACATCATACTTGGACCCTGGTCACATCGTACCTGGACCCTGATCACATCATACATGGACCCTGGTCCCTGTTCACATCGTACTTGGACCCTGATCTCATCATACATAGACCCTGGTCACATCGTACTTGGACCCTGGTCACATCATACATGGACCTTGGTCACATTGTACTTGGACCCTGGTCACATCATACTTGGACCCTGGTCGCATCATATTTGGGCCCTGGTCACATTATACTTGGACCCTGATCGTATCATATTTGGGCCCTGGTCACATCATACTTAGACCCTGGTCGCATCATATTTGGACCCTGGTCCCATCGTACTTGAACCCTGGACAAATCATACTTGGACCCTGGTCACATCGTACCTGTACCCTGGTCATATCATACTTGGTTCCTGAACAAATCATACTTGAACCCTGATCTCATCATACATGGACCCTGGTCACATCGTACATGGACCCTGGTCACACCATACTTGGACCCTGGTCACATCATACTTGGACCCTGGTCACATCATACTTGGACCCTGGTCACATCGTACTTGGACCCTGGTCACATCATACTTGGACCCTGGTCACATCGTACTTGGACCCTGGTCACATCATATTTGGACCCTGGTCACATCATACTTGGACCCTGGTCACATCATACATGGACCCTGGTTGCATCATATTTGGACCTTGGTCCCATCGTTCTTGAACCCTGGACAAATCATACTTGGACTCTGGTCACATCGTACTTGAACCCTGGACAAATCATACTTGGACCCTGGTCAGATCGTACATGGACCCTGGTCACATCATACTTGGACCCTGGACAAATCATACTTGAACCCTGGTCATATCATACTTGGATTCTGGTCACAAATCCACAAACATTCACCCTGGCAAATCATACATGGACTCTGGAAACTTTATAATTGCTAATGGACACATTATACATGGACTCTGCACACATCACACATGCATATATACATAGGACGGATTATACTTGCTCCCCAGGATATACATTATACTTATACTTGGGACTCATCACACGCGGACTCGGATGTTTGAGATCCACTTTTTACGGTACTAAGGCCCTCTGAATAAAACCTATACAGTTTTCGATAACACAGTTCGGGAATTTTATATAATTTTGGCTTAGGTATGAACTATCTTATTGTTAGTCCTTGAACTGAACGTGTATGTTAGCAAGGAGTACAATTTAGCTTATCCTAAGGGAATACGCTGTTATTTTTCACTCATCAAGCGGCAAGGACTTGATAGTGTTTCCATTTGCATATAATGATATTCAGATTATACTTCCATCACGCTTTGAATGTCGAAAAAAACTAAATACATTATTGTTGATTGTCCTTTAGTATCGCGAAAATCATATAAAATCACTAATATTCAATCATTGAGATAAAAGAGATTTCTGATAATTGATGGCATCAGCCAAATAAATGATAAATGAAAAAATGCCGGCATTCGTACTGATTCTCCTCCAAAAATTGTGTCCGTACATTTTTTAAAGAGGAGATAAAATGGCTGCCTTCCACTCTTGAAAACTTGAATAGCAGTTGAGATATTATTAAAAAATTTCCGCATTTGCTAGTCAAAATTTTTAATAATGATAAATCGAAACCGGACTGGCCGGGCAACATAATTTGCTTGAGTCTCAAGACAATTATTTGGAAGTATGCAATACGAGCATGAAGGGCGTATGCATCGTTAACAGCTACCATACAACTGTTAAAATTTAATTCAATATTCGTTTAGTTCAATTTTAAAGATTTGCTTTTGTATGTCAAAATCTCAAATAATTGTCGATACGTCAAGTTTTCTACTCGTTAAATTTTGTAAAATTTTACAAATGATGGAAAAAAGAAAGCAGTTCTAATATTTGCGCAAGTCTGTGTTTCAACTGCTAGCGTTGCAAACAATCAAGCGCCATCAATGCATAAAACCAAGTCAACACCAAAATAGGTCTGAAGCCTTGCGAGGAGCTCAGCGTGAAGCGTTTTTTATCACGTTAAATTCGAGCACGACGCTTTGCCCGTCAATAATTTTAGAATTGCACCCTTTGCCTTTGGTATTCACTGATATCTAGTGCCGTCTATTTTTTCTGCCTTATTTAAGACATAAGGCGTGCTTGTCCAGGTGGCCTTGGAGCAGACGAAGGTGGGGCGAGAACATAAGTCTTCCGGGAGTCAATTTTCTCTGGCAGGAGTGAAGAAGTCCGTTCTAGGCAGAAAATCATTCACGAAGTTTCAGTCATTTACTTTGCAATGGATTAATTACTTTATAGAGCTTCGTTAACGTCACAAAAAAAAAAACAGGGCCAAAATTTCAGATGAATATGTATTCTTAAATTCCTGCCCTCCACTTGCGTTGAAAATGCAAAACTAAGACTTGGTTCAATTCAGTATCGTAACAAATAGCTCACTCTTGCTTATAAAACGAACACAAAAGAATTTGTATATACACGCGTTTGATCTATACTTTATACAGGGATTACATATATTATCTCCTTTTCTGCATCAATTGAGCATCTTTTTCATTTGACTTGTCTCACTACGTACTATGGAGAAAAACTTGCGTGTCTTGTCTGAAAGAACCTTTCTGCCAAGGCCAGTGAACAGTTTTCGAAACATTTCACATGGTTAAAAGGACCACTGCACTCCAGACTTTGCCGGATCGGTCCAGTTGCGCTGTTTACCTTGTTGAACGCCCATCCATGGGTGAGAGGATGCAAGGCCATTTCACTCATGGCAGTCGGTTTACTGAGATCCTGGTATAACTCAATAGAATCGAGTTGTAATCGGTTTTAAGAGAGAATGCTATGTGTATCTAAATGCAAAATAGACTATGAGGTATTGCATAAAAATGTCGACATGGAAATTCGACACGTTTTAATATATCGTTGCTCGGCAACAGTTAGTTGGGTGGGCAATTGAATTGTGCATTTAAATGGAACCTATGATATTTTGTACATGCTATACGTTTGAATGGCTTTAATTTATTGTTTCTCGGTTATATTGATTTTTTGATATTTCAGATTTTAATCTTTTGACCGTTAACTTTCTGCTAGCTGATCGCAAAAATATTTTCCCTTCCTGATAACTTAGAAGTCAGACATTTGGTGTTAGAAAATTTCATCTATTTCTCTACATTCTTCGTTCGGTCTGATCGATTCTTTAAATATAATTGAGTTTTAGGGTTGTTAAATTTCTGAACTGATCATATCTATATCTCCTTATCATCCACGCAAAATAATTTTTAATGAATTTCTATTGACAACCTGTGGCTGCATAGTTCCACCCTATTAATCCATGCACATAACACAGCTAGCGAACTATTCTTTTGCACCTCAGAAGATCAATCACTTGAATTACATGAAAGACGCTCACTAGGTTTCGACTCGCAGTGATGATGGTGATCTGGCACAATAACACAAAATCTTACAGTGCTTTAATTTTTTAAATGATATTGCCTTCATTGAAATAAAAATATGAATTTATGAATTCTACTACGATTATAAGTCAATATGAATAGTAAAGTTGATTTGATATGTATTAAGTAATCACTGGGTGTCTTTGGAAAAATAAGTTAGAGCCAACATGAAGCAGCTTTGGCATATACATATACGGTTGGCACAAACTATGTTTTGCCAACCGCTCAAGATTTCATGTTCAAAAATGAAGAAACATCAGTCAATGTTTGAGTGAACCACTAGGACTCTTGTATAGCATTCATTCGATGTTCATGATGTATCGATTTAATGACGAGAAACAAGTCAATTAATAGGATGCACGCATCGCGCGACCAGATTAGGGAAGAGTGTTGTTTAATTATTTTCTTTATCCATTTTCTGATTTCTTAACAGAAAATAATTCGAACGTAAACTAATCTATATTCAGCACTCCACAGCGCTGGGCGATTCGCCTTGCTATCTACAGTCGGAGCCATAAACTTCGCCGCAGCACTTGTATCGCCGGCCTTTAAAAGAAGCGATCTATTTTGCTAAAAACTAACAACAGTTTTCTAGAGCAATTAAAAATGCTTCTTAGTTATAGTATGGCAATGGAACCCAATAGATTGTAATTCCGACCTGTATTATTCTCTTTTTATAGATGAGATGCGCGTTCAGTGCAGTAGATACCAATGGACGATTTATTTGTCATTAAGTTTCACAAATTGCCATGTCCTAATCCATATTACTGTCTTGTAACCCACCCATGTCCTTCTGATTTGCTTCCTGTCCTCGCCTTTTCCTCGTCCTGAGTTATTCACTCACCCATGCCCTCCATGATGCCGTGTGTGAGGTACAGCGGTGCTCGGCCTGACGCGGCCTCCTTGGCGAAGGTGGTGCGTATAAGGTCCTCCCTCGCGAGCACCACAGCACGCACCTCGCCCAGCTGCAGCTGCACCACCGGACCGTACCGACGCACCAGCGACCGAAGGCTCTCATGAGGCTGTTTGGGGTCGAGCAGCAGCAGTGATCCGATCTGGTTTGGGTTTAAGTTTATAATAAATTATATTAGTCCTTTGTTTATTAAAATTTATTATATTCATTAAATGCGATTTCATTATATGAAGTATTATTTAGGAATAGCAAAGCATGGATATAAGTAAGTGTGCGTTTCAAAAGAAACGAGTTGATTAATAAATAATAATGATTAATTTTGCTAGCGTTGATATAGCTGGCAGGGTCAGACGCTACTTAATTGCAGGATAACTGAATGCAATCCAGGCAGCTGTGGACACTCACTTTATTAACTTGAGTGCCTAATTATACAGCTGTAATAATGTACGTTTTCAGCATAATTTTACAGGAGAATTTATCATGGTTTTTTTAAAGTTTTAAATCCGATCGCGCTTGGTAGGAATTTAATTTTTCGTTTACAATAATCATAAAAAATTTATTTGGCACACCGCAACAGCCACGAACGTCGGGCTTATGACAGTTGTAGTGAGGCCAAGATGGTCATAATAAGGGCCAAGATGGTCATAATATGTATTTTCACAGCTTCACGCAATTCAGATATCGTGACAATGTCTCACTTACGACAGGCCAGCCCCATGGGCCGGGGGGCGATGGTTTGCGATGGTAGTTCCTGTTGAGGATCAGGAGGACGACGGCCACCGCCGCGCCACCTGCTGCCGCCACAGCCGCAGCCTCCCAACTCCACATCGACATATATATATATATATAGTCAGAGTTGACCAAATGCAACGTATTTTCAGCACAACAAATTATTGTTTAGCAAGTGATTAGAAATGATTTTGTTTTATATTTAGAGACTGCTATACGCAAGGCAGAGACGTTAAGTAAAGAAATAAGGGACAAATTAGCTTATATGAAAAATTTAAGTATGTGCCAAACTCGCGAGAGAACATGATAGCATTTCTTTACATTTTAGGGCATTTTCTCATTTATGGAAAAAAATGCACTATTGTGCTCGCAATGTCCGTCTGTCTATCTGTCCGTCCGTCTGTCCGTGCGTCCGTGACCTCAAGTTTTCGTCGACGAGAAAATGCGCTCTCTGTCACTCACTGCAGTGAGTACTGAGTTATATTTTTTACTTCTGAGAAGTTTAGGTACTTTCTCAGCGCAATTTTATTCTTCACGTTATTCCGAGAAGATGATCAACAATTTGGGAATGCTAGTTACCGTTGATCAATTAAATACAATTAATGAATCTAAATCCCTCTGCGATACACACGTAGAAGATATCCACAAGCTCACACAAACTCGACTGTTCACCAATACAGGCGCTAAGCTCCAACTCTGCTCATATTCTCTCAGATCTGCATGTATCATCAGCATAACCTCGATGTCAGCATTGTGTGGAAATTGCGGTGATGACATTCGATGCGCCGAGTTTGCCAACACTGTGGTGTCTGGACTCTCTTATCGAGCCTGGCCGATCTTTTTCATTATTTATCAGTTCTTGTCGCATGGAAAAAAGTCAGTGACGGAAGAAGGACAAAAGAAAATGGAAGGACAGAAAAGAATGGAAGGACATAAGATTATTTCTTGGAACGCGGTGATGCTAGAAGGTTCTATCGACAAGAATATTTGAGATTTTAACTTACGAATCCAATGATTATATTGATATTTAAATTTTCAACAGGGCTGCTAATTAGTAAATAAGTGCAAAGGGTAGAATTAATTATTTTTATACCTTCTTTAGCCTATATAGCCCCCTATCTAACATGAGTTTTCATCACAGAAGTCCCTAAGTATTTTAATCTTGCTAAGCTAAATAATAACTTTTGCACATTTCCATTATTAAATAAAAAAATTAATTGCAGGAAATTTTTCTGGACCGGCAAAACTTCAGTGAGGCTGTGAGTTGCACTTTATTTATAGCTTTTAACTTCTGTCTTTTACGGCGCAGCAAATGTCCTTTGTAGCAAAATATTGACCTCATCGATGGTGTCGTATCTATATATTAACGTGCCCGGCTACGATACGAACTCGATTGATTCTCGGCGTCAAAGCTCGAATCCTATGGTTGATGGCGGTGAATACAAACGGTGCGGTACTCATATTTCGAATGCATGTACGTTGCTGGTTGTGCGATTTACGTCTATTGTTCTTCATTTCAACGAAGCTCAAAGTAATGAAAAGATAAATTATTAAGTAATGTTGAGTAGCTTCTTCTCCTTTATTGTAAACCTCGGTCCATCCCAAAGTCGTAGTATCGGCGCAGATAATTGCAGCTTCGGCTCGACGCGTTCTGCACCCCTAAACTATACAGCCCTACACGTCGCCGTCCAATCCGAGACTGTCCTACCTGCCGAGCCTACCGCCTTATATACCGTGGCAAACCACCTCCATTTCGTAGCAAAACTAATTTTACCCTTGATTATGCTTTCTGCATATATACACTACAATCAAAAATATATAATATTTAGTACGTTATTTTTAAGCTCTATATGATACAACACTACACTGTACCACACTACACCATGCTACACTACAAGATTATGCGATAGTAAAGTCCCCGCTAGAGATGATGGTAGAGGCGATTAACTGCTGGTCATTAGGAGCCGTGTCAGTGTGTACCGCAGTTGTTTATTGCGTACGCTGAAGCACATAAAATAAACGGCTCATGCCACGCGTCTCAAATGGCGTTAAATTCGATAATTCAAAAAAGACGCGACATTTCAAGAAAAAACACGCAAAAGCTAACGTTTTTGAGCTCGGTTGCTCTTATGGCTAGGGAATGATAATTAAGGGGAGCGTCTGGTCAAAAATCGAAAATTTTGACTTTTTCATTTTCTTTGCTCATTTTGTAGCTCTACGCAGCAAGCCGCATGTATGTGCGGGCTCTAGATTTTGCGTAAAACAATTTCAAAAATATATAAAATGAACATTTTTTAACAATATCTACTAAGATTTCCTTAAATTAAATTTGTATTTATCGAACATTTTTCTTGTTAATTTCAAAGTGTTTGCAATCATTTGGGAGCTACAAACAAGACGCGTTCAACAATGCTAATTCCATGGATCTATATGCAATAATTTTTGCGTAAGGCGGTTTGAAACCTTTATAAAATGACCATTTTATCAAAATATATATACAAATTTTCATATAAAATTTTTTATTTATAGATCATTCATTATTCGCGGAAATTGAAAAGTGTTTGCCATCGTTCGAAAGCTACAAACGACTCGCGTTCAAGAAAGCAAATACCACTGATGTACATGCAATGCTTTTGGCGTTAGGCCGTTGCAAACTTATTTAAAATGAACATTTTTCATACATATAAATAAATAAAAAGCTAAATTTATAGCTTATTATTAACGGTAAACTGGTCAAAAGTAAGTCAAAAGACTCTTGCTGGTACCCTAAATGCAACTAATTTACCATGGAAAAGCTTTGACTACAATATCAAGCAATTTACTAGGCATATTCTTCTTTTTAAAATAAATTTCACTTATTTGGCTCCCCTGAACAATTAATATTTCCAGAATAAGCCACCTTAAAAATCTATCTCCTCCTATGATTTCGAAGCTCCAGCATTGAGAAATATGCTATTCGATTTTTTAAGAAAAGGTCTAGAGAATGGTCGTAGGTTTTTTGTAATTTCGTTTTAGTTTGGAAATATTTTGTAAAAAATATAACTCAGTACTCACTGCAGTGAGTGACAGAGAGGGCATTTTGTCGTGGACGAAAACTTGAGGTCACGGACAGACGGACGGACAGACAGACAGACAGACGGACGGACGGATATGGCGAGCACAATAGTGCATTTTTTCCATAAATGAGAAAATGCGCTAAAAAGGGAAGGAGAGCGGGGCATAAATCGAAACACGGACGAAAAATCCCCCCACCCACATAAATAAAAATTTGGAAAAAAGCTGCGACGAATCGCTAGATACGATTTTTACGAATCGAATGATATGTATCTCGATGTTATAGCACGTTAATTGAATGAGTTGCTAGATTTTGTAAAGACCCCCTTTTTCCGTTTCTATGAATTTCACGTTTCTGTTGTTTTTTTTCGAAAAGTTTACACGTTCAAAAAATTCTTGGATTTCTGTTTTACTTATGCGTATCAAGTTTCAAAGTGATCCGTTCATAAATAAAAAGTTTTTATGTGACCGAGACGCTCCCCTTAACATTGCAGTGTTACATTGATCATAAGGTTTAGAAGACAATGATCCCTCATTTTTATACGGCTTTATTTTCTGATCAGACTCTTCTGGTAAAATTGTTGCAGCCTTGCTTTGAGAGAGTCATCCATAAAAATATTATATACGCATTTTCTCTCGAAGAAATCTACGGACTTTGCATACCTTTTTTTATCAGCACGATTTCTGTCTACTTAATTAAGCAATAACGTCAACCCATCATATCGTTACACCCGCAACTTCAGAACTATTGCGACATCATTGTGAGTATTCAGAACCACAATCACTATAGGATCGTTTCCACATCGTCATTAAAGTTCGGAATCACAATTACTACAGAAACATTACCATATCAGAATGAGTATTCAGAACTACTATAAGCTTCAGAAACGTTACCATTACTCTATGGTGTCCGTAGTCTCGACGAAAACAATGCTTAACACTACTGAAAATTTAATTAAATAGAAAACAAATCGATAAAACAATCGAAGAAGCCAGTCGCGGAGCACTGCTCCATCGGCACCGGTGATCTCAGCACTCGTACGTATCATCCTTGCTATGCTGGCCCTGAACAATGTGCGTGTCTTCCAATGACCGACACTTTTGTCTGTATTTATTTGAAGACAGCTAAATAAGAGATGTGATTTAACTCAAGGATCTTTTTCCTATTTACCATTATTGGACTTGCGAATAGATAAACGTCTAGTTTATGATACTTCTAGGGGTATATTCGTATATTCTAATTATAAGGTCGTCATTGCTCAAAAATTTCATTGTTGTTGCTGGCAGGGACAAGTATTTTTTTGCCTGAAACTCGAAATAAATCAGAAAAAGGTGTGTTTTCATCTAAAGTTTATATTCGTAAGATTTGGTGCCTCATTGCCGTCATGGTGAGGCGGAAACTAAAAGTCTGTTTACCATACGGGACTCGCGCTCTTCAGGGGTGCATCTTCCTAACAAAACATCCGTGAATACATATATACACTTAGAGGAAAGATAGACCTTTCATGCTCTATATTTTTCGACTTAAATAAATACACAGCCAAGTGCCTAGATAAAATTACTAGTCCAAAACTATGAAGATCCAAATAAACTATGAAGATCCAATTTATTTTTTCTTCTATAAACATACAAATTTGTTAGATAGACATGTATAATCTTTTTGGTTTCAAATACACTTGCTGAAAGCCACATATGCAATTAAAGAGCTCATCAATAACCAAGTGAGCGACTCCACCCAAGATGCATGTCCATATTAGAAAGATACAAATTAACAGTGTATCATCAATTGCACAATTGAACACTTTGAATACGATTGCATACACTGAGGCCATGCACTCCTCCAAGAGACACACACCCTAAACGGTAGACCCCTGCGTCTCGAAATAATTTTCTCGAAATGAACCGGGACAGACGAAACGAGACGAGAAAATTCCGGGAAAAAAATAACGGGACAGAGGGTAAAATTTGTCCCGGAATAAACGTATGAACCGAGACAAGACTTCTGTCCCGGACTTTAAAACTTGTGTCCCGGTAAATTATGAACC